GGAAGTTACATTACAGCAGGGATTTCTATCTGTTTGAGTTTTGTTCAATGAGGTATCTCCAGAGCCTAGTAATATCAGGTAGGTTAAAAAATAAAAAAACAAAAACAAACAACAGCAACAAAAAACTGTTGGTTGAATAAGTAAGTATTTAAAATCAAAGACTCTGAAGCCATAATGTCTGGGTTAAAATCTCACCTCCCTCCTCTACTAGCTGTTATTTGGGTCAACCTCCATAACTTCTCTGTGTACCAGTTTCACTCTCAATAAAAAATATTAATAGTATTTATCTCATAGAGTAGTTCTGAAAGTTAGTTAATACATGTGAATAGTTCAAACAGTGTCTATGAAAAGTAACTGCAAAACATATGTTACCTATTTAATTTCTAACAGATTTTGCTTTACATCAATTCCAATCATTCATGACATAAAGTTTTACTACTTTTGGAAAGTATACCTTTTATTTACGTAAAAAAAAACTGTCCTATTTTTTCTTACTTTTGGGGTTTTTGTTTGTTTTAGTTTTGCAGTATTCTTTAGTTTGCATTTGCCAGGCTTATACTCAACTATCCACTATTTCAATTGTTTTTGTGTCAGTTTATTTAGGTTTAGCTATTATTTGGACCATAGCTGGAAATGAAGGGTAAGGCTTTCAATGCAATATCACGTCAGCTCCATCTCATAAAAACACTAGTAACGTTTACTCCTCAACAACTACCCAGTCCTCTAACAGTTGCTAAGAATTCTCCTGGGAGACACGCTATTTAATCCTTAAGCACGCATTTACCACACATATAGTGACTCATAGATTAAGTAGCTCTCTTTCCTTAAGTATTTTCTCTTTTATATAAATTCTTATTTTATATAAAAAAATTCTATTTATATAAAAGAATTTATATAAGTCATCAATTCTTATAAATTATTCTAAGTTGGATGGGCACAGTGACTCATGCCTGTAATCCCAGCACTTTTGGAGGCCAAGGTAGGTGGATCACAGGAGGTCAGAAGTTCGAGACCAGCCTGGCCAACACGGTGAAACCTCGTCTTTACTAAAAAAAAAAAAATTAGTCAGGCATGGTGGCGGGCGCCTGTAATCTCAGCTACTTGGGAGGCTGAGGCAGGAGTGTTGCTGGAACCTAGAAGGTGGAGGTTGCAGTGAGCCAGGATCACGCCATTGCACTCCAGCCTGAGCAACAAGAGCAAAACTCCGTCTCAAAACCAACAAACAAACAAACAAAATTCTTCTAAGTTTTGGGTGTGAGGAGAGCAATATACCCATAGGATTTCTTGTGGGAGGGGATGAGAATATATTAATACATTTTCTCATTGTACTATCTCAAACCAAAAGTCTTTCATCACATAAAAGTAAGCACTACGCTAAAATATTTTAAAAATACGATTCTGATTGCTCTTCTTTTTCCTCCAGATTCAATTTCTTTTTAGAAAAGTTGCTATATTATAGCTGTACATATCTGTGGGGGGTACACGTGGTATTTTGATAGATGTATACAATGTGTAATAATCAATTAGGGTAACTGGGATTTCTATCACCTAAACATTTATCATTTCTTGTGTTGGGAACACTGCAGTTGTCCTCTTCTAGCTATTCTGAAATATACAACAAAGTATTAACTATGATTTCCCTACTGTGTTATCAAATATTAGAATGTATTTACCCAATCTAACTGTATTTTTGTACCCATTAAACAACTTCTCTTCGCACCCCAAAACCTGTCCCTTCTCCACCTACTACCTCCATTCCACTCTCTACCTCCATGAGATCTGCTTTTTTTTGCTCCCATTTAAGAGTGACAATATGTGATGATTGTTTGTATTTTGATTCCTGGCTCATTTCACTTTATTTAATGATCCCCAGTTCCATCCATGTTGCCGCAAATGACAGGATTTCATTCTTTTTTATGGCTGAATAATATTCTAATGTGTATATACACCACATTTTCTTTTTCCTTTCATCTGCTGATGGACACTTAAGTCGATTCCAAATATTGGCTATTGTGAATAGTACTGCAATAAACATGGGAATGTAGATATCTCTTCAACACACTGATTTCCTTTCTTTTGGATATACACCCAGCAGTGGGATTGTTGGATCATATGATGGTTCTATTTTTAGTTTTCTGAGGAACTTCCATACTGTTTTTCATAATGGCTGTACTACTTTAGATTCTCAGCAGTGGGGCTTCACTGTGAATTGGATACTTCAAGTGGAAATGATTCTATAATTCAGTAACTTATTTAATAATAAATCTTATCTAGAACCACAGAAGACCACAGGGAGGCTAAAGTTTTAACTGGTAAAGAAGCAGCAATCACTCAGATTGGTCAGAGTACGGATGTGTCTGGTATCTTTTGTAGTTCGCACAGTGACCTTGTCTGTTAAATGTGACTAGACAACTTTATGGAGTGATCTTGCTTTTTGTTTCGCTTCATCACAGTCACAGGGTCTGATGTTGATGTTCTGTGAAATTATGTTCAAAAGGAGAACATAAATGCCTAGCTATAAATGCCAAGCCAGTTTCCAGATACAGTGACTGCTTTCTCTCTCAAGTTACTATGCTATATTTCAACTTAAGGCCTTAAATTTTCTCCTGATGTATTCCATTATGTCTTACAAAAATACTTGAATCTGGTATTTTCATGGCTGTTCATAAACAGATACAAACAAATCTATAAACTTCCTATAAAAAAGAATAGAATAGGCCGGGCGCGGTGGCTCAAGCCTGTAATCCCAGCACTTTGGGAGGCCGAGACGGGTGGATCACGAGGTCAAGAGATTGAGACCATCCTGGTCAACATGGTGAAACCCCGTATCTACTAAAAACGCAAAACATTAGCTGGGCATGGTGGCGCGTGGCTATAATCCCAGTTACTCAGAAGGTTGAGGCAGGAGAATTGCCTGAACCCAGGAGGCAGAGGTTGCGGTGAGCCGAGATCGCACCATTGCACTCCAGCTTGGGTAATGAGCGAAATTCTGTCTCAAAAAAAAAAAAAAGAAAAAAGAATAAAATAAATGCATGCATTGTACATGAACATAATACAGAATGAACATAGTACATAGTTGTCACATTTACTAGCCATAAAAGTAAGAAGGTGGTTACCCAGGTTTGGGAACAAGAAAAAGAAAAACAGAAGTGATATAATCCAAAAGGATTTCTTTTTCACTTAGATAAAAATAACTGTAATATTTTTTCAAATCAATTGAATATACAAATAAATGTTCACTAAAAACACCTCATTGTTTTTTATTTTACTATAAGGGATATTAGGGTGATTCTTTTCCTTTTTTTGAGACAGAGTCTCACTCTGTCACCCAGGCTGGCGTGATCTCAGCTCACTGCAACCATGGCCTGCTGGGTTCAAGGTATCCTTCCACCTCAGCCTCCTCAGTAGGTGAAACCACAGGCATATGCCACCATGCTCAACTAATGTTTGTAGTTTCTGTAGAGGCGGGGGTCTCATCATGTTGCTCAGGCTATATTACGGTAATTCTTAAAAAGTGAAAATCTAGAATTTAGACAATAGTATTGTATCAATATTAACTGCTTTAATTATAAAGTTATATTGTGATTATATAAGACAATATCCTTATCCCTAAGGAAATACATGCTGAAATACTTAAGGATAAAGAAACTTATGTACGTACCTTACTCAAACAATCCATAAAAGAAATTATATACTTATATATGTAAAAGAAAGGTTGAATGACAATGATAAAACAAATGTGATAAAATGTTAAGTGTTTAGACAATCTGTAATCTTTTTTAGTATTTTTATAATTTTTTTCTAAGTCAAAACTTATTTCAATATAAAAAGTTAAAAGAAGTAGCTGGGTGCAGTGGTACAGGCCTGTAATCCCAGCACTTTGGGAGGCCCAGGTGGGTGAATCACCTGAGGTCAGGAGTTTGAGACCAGCCTGGCTAACATGGCAAAATCCCATCTCTACTAAAAATGCAAGTATTAGCCAGACACAGTGGTGTGCACCTACAGTCCCAGCAACTCGGGAGGCTGAGGCTGGAAAATTGCTTGAACCCTGAAGGCAGAAGCTGCAGTAAAGATTGCACCCACTGCACTACAGCCTAGGCAACAGAGCAAGACTCCATCCCCTCCCCCCTCCAAAAAAAATATATAAAATAATTATAAAAAGTTGAAAAAGCATATCAGGCCTCAAAAATAAACTTGACAGATATCACTATCGCCAAGTCAAAGACGAAGTGAGGAAAGGTCAAAATAATCATAAACCTAATTCAAAGAGGTAAACCTGGTATCTACTTCACTCAAGACTACAGTCTACATTCCTTGGAAAAGCTGTAAGTTTCTAATAAAGCGTAATTCAATGACTGATTTATAATTTTCCTATCTCTAAGATAAACTATATCCTGATTACTCATAATTTTTTTCCTAAAGTATTTCCTTTCTCTCGGGTTATGAAATTACCAGTAAGTTTTTAAAAACTGCCAGGCACAGTGGCTCACACCTGTAATCATATCACTCTGGGAGGGTGAGGCAGACAGATCACTTTAGTCCAGGAGTTTGAGATCAGTCTGAGCAACCTGGTGAAACCCCATCTCTACAATAAATACAAAAATTAGCTGGGCATGGTGGTGCACTCCCATAGTCCCAGCTACTTGAGAGGCTGAGGTGAGAGAACTGCTTGAATCTAGGAGGTCAAGACTATAGCTTTCCAGCCTGCAAGACAGCCTGGCTGTCTCAAAAAACACAAAAAGAAAAACAAAACCTTTAGATTTGTTCCATAACAACTTGGTGAAGAAAATAAAATTTAAATTCTCACCACTGAAAAAGCAAATACTAATATTTGATTCTGCCATTATGCATTAAGAGCTATTCAAGTGCTAATCAACACCACTGCATTCAAAATGGCTTTCTTTGTGACAGGACATTTTAGTAAACTAATCTATGATTTTATAACTCAGGTAATTATACTCATGGTATCATAAAAACAAACTGTTAAAGATATCATTTACCTGAGAACTGCCACTGAAACCTGGAGGTTGGCTGTATTCTGTGGAATCAATAATACTACTGCAAAACGAAGAGAGAAAAATGTGATTTCAGTATTTACATTATTTTAACAATAGAAAAAGTAAATCTAAAGTATATCATATATAAGCCCAGTACTTCTAATTTCTAGGCAAAGAAAACATTGCCAATCATTTAATTAGGCATCAAATACACAATCCATAAAATATCAGTAAATATTTAAGCAATTTACCACTCCAATCCACCACCTCAAAGATATAAACCAAGAAATAATGTCAATAGGGGATCACTACAAGGCATGTGTCTACATAGATTTGCTTGTTTATATGTCATTTTCATATAGGCTAATACAGTTTGGGAAACTTTAAGGAAAAGAAAATTTACACTATTGGGAAAACAGCCCAAGCATGCAATCAAAAGCTATGGTTAACAGATCCTGCTATGCCACTAAAAAGTTGTATGTTCTTGAACAATTACCTTATAATCAATCACTCAAGTTTCCTCATCTGTAAAAATGAGGTAAGGAAGGCTAGCTATTTCTGAACTATCAAAAGAATAAAATAAATGGTAAAATAACAATAATCCTGTTTTTGTAACCCAAAACCAATATACTAGTTTCCTCTGCTCTGGTCAAACAGGATTTGCTTTTTCCACACATTCTTTTTATTTGGTTATATCCTCTGCATATTCTCCTATCTAACCCTAAAAAACCCTCTAGAAGTCTAGACTGTCTTTTACTTCCTCTATCTTAGCATTTTTATCTTGCCATTTCATCTTTCCTATCTCCCTCCCATCTTTAAATAAGCCTTATATGAAAGACTATCAACAACTGAAAATCACATGACATATATACCAACCATATAAACTATTATTTATTTTCTGTAAATTCTTCTTCTCTATTTCTACTATAAACATGTTTAGAATGGGCACAGTGGCTCACAACTGTAATCCCAGCACTTTGGAGCCCCAGAGAGGCGAATCACCTGAGGTCAGGTGTTTAAGTCTGACCAACACGGTGAAACTGGGTCTCTACTAAAAACAAAAAACTTAGCTGGGTATGGTGGCACGCTCCTGTAATCCCAGCTACTCAGGAGGCTGAGGCAGGAGAATTGCTTGAACCTGAGAAACAAAGGTTGCAGTGAGCCTAGAGTGTACCACTGCACTCCATCCTGGGCGACAAGAGAGGAACTGGGTCTCAAAAAACAAGCAAGCAAGAAAACAAAAATGTTTGTATTCTTTCTATCCTATAAAATTTAAGCAATCAAGATTACTAATTAGAATGGTTCTATATGCAAATACACAGAATGATTAATTACTTAGTACTGAAAGAACCTCAAAGGTTATAGCATGACAGGTACTCTTAGAAGTACACAGTTTGAATTTTACCCATAGAAGTGAATAACCTGACTCTGGGCAAGTGATTAATCTTATTTGAGCTCTAGCTTCTCCATCTATTAAATGATGAAGACACATAAGAGAGGCTGGAAATTTAAATAAGATAATGCATATAAAGTATGATCCCAAAACATTGTAAACATTCAGTAAATTTCTTTCTTTTAATAACAAAATTAGCAATAAAAAACTTCACATTTTCAAAAATCATATGAATCTGTCTACACAGGAGTCTTTTTTTTAAAAGGCATAATTAATGGGTACAAACATACACTCAGATGAAAAAAATAAGTTCTAATGTTTGACAGCAGACTAAGGTGACTACAGTTAAAATATTCCAGCTATTTCAAAACAGCTGGAGAAGGCCAGGCACAGTGGCTCATGCCTAAAATCCTTGCACTTTGGGAGACTAAGGTGGATCACTTAAGCCCAGAAGTTCAAGACCACCCTGGACAACTTAGTGAGACCCAGTTTTCTATATATAATTAGTTGGGTGTGGTGGTACACGCCTATGGTTCCAGCTACTCAGGAGGGTGAGGCGTAAAGATCACTTAACCTCAAATGGTTAAGGATGCTATGAGCTGTGATCACATAACTGCATTCTATCTAGCCTGGGAAAAAGAGTGAGAGGTTGTCTCAAGAAAGAAATGAGACGTGGTCTCAAGAAAGAAAAACAAAACAAAACAAAACAAAAAAAACAAAATAGCCAGAAGAAATCATAAATGCTAGCTGGGTGTGGTGGGATTATAGGCTCATGCCTATAATCCCAGCACTTTGGTAGGCTGAGGTGGGCAGATCACTTGAGATCAGGAGTTCAAGGCCAGCCTGGCCAACATTGTGAAACCGCGTCTCTACTAAAAATACAAAAATATTAGCCAGGCATTGCAGTGTGTGCCTGAGCTACTCAGGAGGCTAAGGCAAGAGAATTGTTTGAACTCAGGAGGCAGAGGCTGCAGTGAGCCGAGACCATGCTACTGCACTCCAGCCTGGGCAACAGAGCAAGACTCCATCTCAAAAAAAAAAAAAAAAAAAAAAAAAAAGGAGAGAGACAGAGATAATAAGCCCTCAAGGTGACAGGTGATGGGATACACCCCAAATACTCTGACTTGTTAATTACACATTCTATGCAAGTTAAAAAAAAATCACAAGTACCCTCATAAACATGTATGAACTATTATGCATCAATGAAAAAATAAAGAAATAAGGTTAAATGGCTACCAATAAATGCAGCACATACAAAAAAGTATTAATTGTGTTCTCAACAATTCCTATAGCATAACTCAATTATAAAAGAGCCTTTAAAGAACTGAACCACATAAAGAACTCAAATGCTCTTGCAATGAGTTCATTTTAATAAAATATAACCATCGCTCACCTTCCCTATAGAGTCACACATTGGTATAGCAAGATCACATGCTATTTTCAGTTTAGTCCATCCAGAAACTAACAGGACTAAAAGTGAGGTAATGCAATGTATTAAAAACCTCTCTGTTCTTTCTACTGATGAAACTCAATCCCCTAGCATTTTATAACATTAATAAAATTGTATAGTTCTATATTTAGAGGCCCATAGAACAGAACATTTCCAGCTATACATTTTCATGGATTTTTGATTCAGAATTCTGTGACTCTAAGCCTGAAAAATGAATGATACTGATATATCAGTGTATACAGTGATAAAATTCTAATTTTAAATATGTTAAAAAAATACTCATCAGTTTTTTCAAGATAATCAAAGAATTAAAAATAGTATCTTAATAATGATTACAGAGTATGAAATTTATTATCTACCAGGTCTTAATTTTATTCACTAAGTAAAAGGTATAATGCAGACTGCAACAAAAAAATTTGAATAAAACCTGTTAATTCTGCTTAATATATATATCATTCCAACACACACACACACACACACACACACACACACAGAGAGAGAGAGAGAGAAAGAGAGAGAGAGAGAGAGAAAGAGGAGAGGGGAGAGGAGAGGAGGGGGAGGGGAGGGGAGGGCGGGGGAGGGGAGAGGAGGGAGAGGGGAGGGGAGGGCAGGAGAGGGCAGGGAAGAGGAGAGAAGAGGAGAGGGGAGGGGAGCGGAGGGGAGGGGAGGGGAGGGGAGGGGAGGGGAGGGGAGGGGAGGGGAGGGGAGGGGAGGGGAGGGAGGAGAGGAGAGGAGAGGAGAGGAGAGGAGAGGAGAGGAGGAGAGAAGAGAGAAGAGAAGAGAATGTTAGAAATCACTGACAGGGCTGGGTCCCTCTTGATTCTGGTGCTATACTACTAAACTTTTGATTCATCCACAGTCACCAGATGGCAATAACAATATCAGTAGACCATTTACTGAGGGTTTACTATCCACTAACCTAAATAATTGAAACTCAGAGCTCTAACACAGGTAATACTATTAACATTCTCATTTCTCAAGTGAGAAAACTCAGGCACTGAGAGATTATATATTTGGTCCAAGATAACAACACTGGGAAATAGCAGAGTTACTCAAACCCAAGCAGTCAAGTTCCAGAGTCCACAAGAACCACCGTGCTACATAAACTACCTAGGCACTTTATATTCTCTAACTGAAGAACAGGAAAATCCCAGAGTAGTCCCTACTTTGTAGACATATTTTAAAGAGAAAAATGAAAAACAATAACCTATAAGACATAATAATTACTTTTTCAAATAAATGTCAATAAAGTTATAAAAGTAGCACTAACCAAGGCGGGCAATCACCTGAGGTCAGGGGTTCAAGACCAGCCTGGCCAACATGGTGAAACTCCAACTCTACAAAAATACAAAAATAAGCCAGACATGATTGCAGATGCCTGTAATCCCAGCTACTTGGGAGGCTGAGGTGGGAGAATCACTTGAACCCAGGAGGCAGAGGTGGCAGTGAGCCGAGATCACACCATCGCACTCCAGCCTGGGTGACAAAGCAAGCCTCCACAACAACAACAACAACAACAACAACAACAACAACAACAACAACAATACGCTTAAAGACATCAAAAGCTGTCAAGGGGAAAAATTTTCATGGTGGTAACTACAACTGATTTAGAAGTAATACAGTTTAATGAAATGATAAAAAGTTTCTAATGTTCTTGCTGGTAACAATGAGAAGCTTTGCTAAAATAAATAACAATGCCGCTCTTAATTTGAGGTATAAAAGAAATTCATAGTTATGCAAGTAGATGTCATACAACTACTCTCACCTAAATTATTTTCTTTCAAAAGCAAAGACATTTTTCCTAACTAGAAGGAAGATTAAGTCAATTTCACATGAGGTATACTATCATGAAGAGGTAGCCAAGAGAAAACAATGGTTCACTCTTATAAAAATAAATAGGCATACAGATTTTAGACTAGCCTTTTTTACTGAAAAAGGATGGTTTAAATTTAAATTATTAGTAGATACATTAGCTAATTAAATTATAGAGAGTTTTAAAATAAATGAGCAAAAATAAAGCACACTGAGATCATTTTAGGCTAAACATAGACAATAAATATGGAATTATGAATAAGGGAATCAAAATCCAAAATGCCATGTACGTACAAAAATTAGACTATTATCACTGATTTCTGTTTTGCTATAAACCATAAAAGAGAGAAAAATAAACTTCTACATTTAATAAATAAACCAAATGGAGCTACAGATAAAACTTGCT